TTTAGGGTTAGGTTAAGGGTTACGTTAAGCGTTAGGGTTAGGGTTAGGTTTAGGTTTAGGGTTAGGTTAAGGGTTACGTTAAGTGTTAGGGTTAGGTTTAGGGTTAGGTTTAGGTTAAGGGTTAGGCTTAGGGTTAGGTTTAGGGTTAGGTTTGGGGGGGGTTAGGGTAAGGTTTTCACGTTAATTTTAAATTTACCGCTCACAGCGTGCCGTTTTCGTCGCGCTGTGATGACGTCACGTATGCGCTTTCGTCGAGCGCGCTTTAGTCTACCGCGGATTTGTGGTGGAACCGTCCGAATCTCCATGAATCTAGTTGGGCTCCCAAATCTTGCATCACATGGCCCAAAATGAAAATGGCTCTCGCAGATCCATGCACAGATCAATGCGCGCCATGCACGGGAAAAGTAACACCTTTCCGCTAGGAATTCCCTGGGCCCCCTCGGCAACCTATGGAGAACCTTACCACCCAGCAGGAGGAGGTTATTAATAAATGACTTAATGTTGACAATTTCTCCTTAACAGCCTGGTTAAATTAACAGCAACATACATAACCACTTCACAGTTCAATGCCAGTAGCAAAATGTTACCAGTTGTTATTTGCAAATCCAGAGGGGAAATTGTTGTTCCCCTGAGTTTGCAAGCCTGGGGAGGGGGGGGGAGGAGGAGGAGGAGGAGGAGGAGGAGGAGGAAAAGGAAATGCATGAGAAGGTAAGGGGAAGAGGAGGAGGAGGGAGGAGAAGGGAGGATAGGTAAAAGGAGGTGGAGGAAGGGGAAGTGGAGGAGGAGAAGTGGAGGAGGGAAAGAGAAGGAGAGGAAGAAGAGGAGAAGGGTAAAGGGGAGGGGAAGGAGGAGAAGGAAGAAGAGGAGGAGGAGGAGGAGGGGGGGGAAAGGAAATGCATGAGAAGGTAAGGGGAAGAGAAGGAGGGAGGAGAAGGGAGGATAGGTAAAAGGAGATGGAGGAAGGGGAAGTAGAGGAGGAGAAGTGGAGGAGGGAAAGAGAAGGAGAGGAAGAAGAGGAGAAGGGTAAAGAGGAGGGGAAGGAGGAGAAGGAAGAAGAAGAAGAGGAGGAGGAGGAGTAACAGAAATAATAGATTAAGAGTTGGAAGGGACCTTGCAGGTCATCTAGTCCAACCCCCTGCCCAAGCAGGAGACCTTATATCTGCCTCTACCTAGTATCGAACTCACAACCTCCTGACTGTGAGGCAACAGCTCCACCTTAGGAGGAGGAGGAGGATTAGGAGGAGGAAGAGGAAGGGATACAACTGAAAGATGAAGGGGAAAGATTGGAGAACGGATGAAAAGGGAGGAGGGAGAAAGGAAGGAGAAGCAGTAGAGAAGGAAGAACAAGGGAAAGGAATGGAGAAGGAAGGGAAAGAATAGAGAAGAAAGGGAAAATGGAAAGAGAAGGAAGAAGAGGAGACGGAATGGAGAAAGAAAAGGGGAAGGGGAAGAAATGGAGAAGGAAGAGGGTAAAGAGAAGGGAGGGGCTACGAAGAATGGTTGCAGGATCTGGTTTGGCCAGTCTAGAGAAAAGAAGAATTAAGGGTGATATGATAGCAGGATTCCAGTATTTGACAAATAAGCTGGGATCAAATTATTCTCCAAAGCACCAGAAGGCTTTGGACAAGAAACAATGGATGGAAACTAATCAAGGAGAGAAGCAACCTGGAATTAAGGAGAAACTTCCCAGCAGTGAGGACAATTAACCAGTGGAACAGCTTGCCACCGGAAGTCGTGAGTTCTTCATCACTGGAGGTTTTTTAAGAAGAGACTGGACAGTCACTGGTCTGAGATGGTACAGGTTCTCCTGCTTGAGCAGGGGGCTGGACTAGAAGACCTCCAAGGTCCCTTCCAGCTCATTCCTTTTTATTCGACTAACAACCAGTCATTTAGTAACTACCGCTCCAAGTTACAACAGCATTGAAAAAAAAGTGACAGCTTTTCACACTTACGACTGTGGGAAGTTATCATCCAGCCCTCTCCCAGAAAAATGAAATATCCTAGGAAATATTGAAAAGNCACCAAAAGGAGACCGGAGAAAAGCAACCAGATTGGAGAAAAGCAACCAGATCGAAAGGAAGGGAGATATATGATCGTGTTTGGAAGAGCAGGAGGGGAGGGCTGTGAGCAAGCCGAGCGGAGGGAGGGAAACCACTGCCCTCTAAAGTCCACATTGGGAGCGACACTTCAGAGAAATAAAAACTTTTTTTTTAACGGCGTCCTTTTTAAATCGGGACTTTTTGAACACGCAGCGGGACATGGGACAAATTTTGAAAAATCGTGACTGTTCCGCCAAAAGCAGGACGTCTGGTCACCTTACCTTACACACATTTATATACACCCAGTCCCTCCCATAACCACCCCTTCCATAACTACCCCTTCAGCATAACCCCACCCACCCTTACTCCAGGATGCGCCAACCTCCAGTCAGGGAGGGTCTGTGAGAAAGCATTCAGACCAGTCCAGTCATAGAAAACCCAGGAACATGCCTGCAGCAGCTGTTGGAACAGAAACCCCTTCCCGGCACTGGCACTCACCCTGCCGCAGCGCGTAGCGATGACGTTGCTTCTCCCTCAGGCTTCGTGGATTGGATGGAGGAGGAAGTAGCCAGAGAGGAGGAAACCACTGCGCCGACTGGATGGAAGCAGCCAGCATGGAGAAATGCTAACAGAAACAACCCGTTCAGCTGGTAACCTCCCGTTCAGCTGGGCAGGAAATATCGCGTGCACAGGGAATGGCAGCCTGAGGGCTGACAGTCACCTTGTTAGTGTAAAAAAAAATTATACAAAAATATATGGTATAAAAAGATAATACAAGGTAGCCCACAAAAATCCACAAAATATTAAAATGTATTAGAAATGTAAACATATTGTAAACAAGTATTGCAGTCTCTGACTATTTATAATCCACAAAAGAAGGTAAAATGATAATTGCACTTCAGGGTGTAGGAAGTTAAAACCCATCCCTCTCCTAGAAAAATGAAATATCCTGGGAAATGTTGAAAAGGCAGAATATATTTCCCTGGATGTGAAAAGGAAGAAACATGTTTTAAAAGACAGAATAGCTGCCTGCAGCTTCCTGCCCATCCCCCTTTGTCAATGAGCCATTAAAGTCTGAGCTAGTCCACTTTCCATAATAAAGGTAGTATCAGCTTTTCACAGAAACTCACCACATGGCATTTGAGAACTCATCCAAACTTGGGATTCAAAACACAGCCTAGAGAGTTGCCCCTGCATGGCCCCATGGGAGTCTGACAACCAATCAGAATACAAGCTCAAATTCAAAAGCCCAGAGAGGGCATAAAACCAGGGACTCAGCTTCTCTTCCGCCCTTTTCCCCTTCTCTTCTCCACCAACATTGAAGCATGTGATCACCTTTTCTGTTCAGGACTCAAGCCATGTGGTCCTGTCCACCATTAAAACCATCTTTCCAAGCAGCCTCCATGTCTCCAGTGTCTTTTTCCCCACTTGGAGCCCAACCCAGAAGGACATTTCTTCCAACAATGGTAAAAATAACTATGCAGTCAATATTGAAGAAAAACTGTTCAATCTATAAAGAAAATTTTCTCAATGCTGAAAATTTTTGTGAATGCTGGTATTTTCTCAATGTCAATCAGGAGAACTATATATTTAATATAGCTGCATCTGGACAGCAGTTTCATTACTGAAGAACGAAAGTACTGATGTTCATTTTGAAGAACACCTTGCTTAGGCAAATAGTCACAGAATCAGTAGTTGATTTCTTAAAAAGTTTTCAAGAACTTCTTGAAGATTGCTTGGTGTCTAAGCTGAGAAATTGCCCCTCTATTTTTTTTCCATTAGCCACCATGAAACAGGATTTACCCAACCCTGTGTCCTTTAGAAGAGTTACATTTCCAAAATCCC